GATAAGAACGAGTTCAAGTTTGTCGTAAAAAATCATTTCAAAATAACTAACTTTTCACTCACCTGCCCACATCCAACTTAGAAACAATAGTTTAAACTCCCTACAAAGGGGTGGCAATGGCACGGCCGGTTAAGAGGCAAGCAGCAGTAGTAGCGGATGACATTGATGAGAAACACCTTTTGGCTTTCATTGCGAAGAAGGAATATAAAGATGAAAATAAATGCAAAGAAGAACTCAAGAAATATTGTGAAGAGTTGAAGAAAATAGATGGTCAATTCAGTGTGAATGATAAAGTTAAAGGACTTTGTGATGGTGATGAAGCAAAACGAGGAGAAAAATGCAAAACCCTGAAAGAGAAAGTTGAAAAAGAATTGGAAGCTTTTGGAGATGAACTTGATACATTGGTAGATATAAAAGATGAAGATTGTAAAAAACATGAGGAAAAATGTATACTTTTAGAAGAAGCAGACCCAACTAATCTTAAGAGTAACTGTGTCGAGTTGAGGGAAGGATGTTACGAATTGAAGCGTAAAAAGGTGGCAGAGGAGCTCCTTTTCAGGGCGCTCGGAAAGGATGTTAAAAATGGTGAATGTGAAAAAAAGATGAAAGATGTTTGCCCAGTGTTAAGCCGAGAAAGCGACGAGTTGATGTCTTTCTGCCTTAATTCAAGTAAAACATGTGAAACGTTGAAAGAAAAATTGAAGGATGTTTGCGAGCCTTTAAAAACAAAATTGGCGAAAGATTTCGAAAAAGATTGTCATGAAAGACTTGAGAAATGTCATTTTTACGGAGAAGCGTGTGATAAACCAATGTGTGATGAGGATAAGAAGCAATGCGAGGAAAAAGGAATCACATATAAAGCGCCGGAATCTGATTCTAGTCCGGTCAAGCCGAAGGCGTCGTTGTTAAGAAGTATTGGGTTGGAAGATGTGTATAAAAAGGCTGAAAAAGAAGGAATTATTATTGGAAAATCAGGAGTGGATCTACCAAGGAAGTCAGGTACAAAATTTCTGCAAGATCTCTTGCTACTGTTGAGCAGAGATAAGAAGGAGACGGAACCAGAAAAGAAATGCACCGAAGCGTTAAATAAATGTGATGCTTCTAAGTATTTGGATCATAATTTGAAAGAGTTATGCAATGATGGAAAGAAAAACGACAAATGCAAAGAATTACTAGATGTAAATGTAAAAGAAAGATGTACAAAACTCAAATTAAATCTTCATCTGAAAGGGTTGTCTACGGAGTTTAAAGAAGATAAAGAATCAGAACTTTTATTGTGGGGACAGCTTCCAACCTTTTTTATAAAAGGAGAGTGTGCAGAACTTGAGTCGGAATGTTTTTATTTAGAAAAGGCGTGTACGAATAAGATTGATCAAGCATGTCAAAATGCAAGAGCAGCGTGCTATAAAAAGGGACAAGACAGGATGTTGAATAAGTTCTTTCAAAAGGAATTGAGGGGAAATCTTGGTCTTGTAAGATATCGTAGCGATCCTGGTGATTGTAAAAAATATGTAGTGGGAAACTGTACAAAACTTGATAAAAAATATCTTCCACGATGTCTTTATCCTAAAGAATTATGTTATGCGCTTTCAAATGATATTTTTCTTCAATCCAAAGAGTTGGGTGCGCTTTTAGATGATCAAAGGGATTTTCCATTAGAAAAGGATTGTCTTGAATTGAAGGAGAAGTGTGATGAACTTGGTAGTGATTCATTATTGAATTTAGAAAAGTGTATAACATTGAAAAGACGCTGTGAATATTTTGACGTTACAGAAAGATTTAGAAAAGTATTTTTAGAAAAAAAGGATGATTCGTTAATGATTCAGGAAAATTGTACAAAGGCATTGCATGAGAAATGTAATGCTTTATATAGGAGGAGAAAGAATTCATTTAGTGTTTCATGTGCTTTACCAGAAGAAACATGTAGTTATATGGTATTCCACACAAGTCAAGATTGTAAATATTTAAAAGAAAACATCAAGAATGAAGGAATTGTAGGAAAAATTGGAGGAGCAAATAAAGATGAAACAGCACTTGAAGAACTCTGCACAACATGGGGCCGACATTGTCATCAACTTGTGAAGAATTGTCCAGATCAGTTGAAAAAAGAGAATGGCAATGACAATGATCATAACTGTGACAAACTCGAAGAAAAATGCAGTGAAACTTTTAAAAAGTTGAAAGCGAAGGAGGAGCTAACTCATCTGTTGAAAGGCAATTTAAAGGAGGATAATCAATGTAAAGAAGCATTGAAGAAGCGTTGCACTGAGTTGCAAAAGAATAAAACATTCGAAACTCTGCTTGGTAAATGTGAAGATAACACTTTCCAAGAACTTTGCAAAAAATTAGTTGAAAAAGTACAGAAGAGATGTCCTACTTTAAAAGCTGATCTGGAGAAAACGGAAAAAGAGTTGAAGGTCAAGAAAGAAGAATATGATGCGCTCAAAAAGGCAGCAGAAGAATCCAGAAATAAAGCTAGCTTATTGCTATCAAGGCCTAAACAAACTGTAACGCCAAGTGCGCAGAATAGCAGTGGTTCTGTACCAGCACAGCCACCAGCAGCACCAGCAGCACCAGAAGCAGGATCATCTTCATCACCACAAGGGCCACCTTCATCACCAGAATCATCTTCTACATCAAGTGGAACACCAGGCACAGCAGATGGAACGAAGAATAATGCAAAACTTGGACTTGTTAAAAGAGCATATGTAGAAGGAGTATCAGAAGTAGAGGTCAAAGCATTTGATGCAACGACGATAGCATTGGAATTGTATTTGGAATTAAAAGAAGAATGTAAAGCTTTACAACTAGATTGCGGTTTTAAAGAGGATTGTCCAGATACTAAACAAGCTTGTAAAGAAATAGAAGAGTTATGTAAACTGGAAGCATTAAAAGTTGCGCCTCATCATACAGAGACAATAACAGAAACGAAGACAGAAACGAAGACGGAAACAAAGATGGAAACAAAGACTGATGACAAGGCTGATGAGAAGACCGGTACGAAAACTGTTACAGAAACCAAGACAATAGGTGGAGGAAAAGTAACAGAAGAGTGTACAATGATACAAACAACAGATACATGGGTGACGAGTACGTCATTGCATACGAGTACGACAACGAGTACGTCGACAGTGACGTCTACAGTGACGTTGACCTCGATGCGCAAGTGCAAGCCTACCAAATGTACCACCGATTCAACCAAAGAGACACAGAAAGGAGGAGAAGAAGGAGAAGAAGATGTAAAACCAAATGATGGGATGAAAATAAGAGTCCCTGATATGATTAAAATAATGTTGTTGGGAGTGATTGTTATGGGGATGATGTAA